ATGACTTTAAAATACATGTATAGTGAAAATGTTGAAATTGATCACTACAGCAATAAATTGTTGTTGCTGAAATTGGTCCCTATAAAGGCAGTAGTCTAATTCTTTAACACAATTTTACATGTCAGATGTTCATATATACGGTATTAACAGACCTTTAACAAATAAATCATGCTATAACACTATTCTAAGATCTGTCTTTCGTCAAATATTTAGATTTCGAAATGTTCACAATTAAACAGAATTAACAATAAAAACAAAATCACAAATTACTACCACATATTATGAAAATCTTTTCAAATAAAGCGACCGAAAAAAAAAGAAGAAATTTTAAAGTCATTTTAGACTGGAAACTAACTGATTTCCAAAGGTCATTGCATGCTTTTATAAAAAGAACAAGTTGGCAACACATGGAGCCCGTGCTCTCGATCTGTCATCACGTATATAAATTACATAATAAAAATTGGAACCACTCGACCCGTGGTTTATTAGTACCGGGAGAAAAATAATTAACTATTTCATACAATCGTAAACAATAGAAATATTAACACATGTTTAAATTTAGCTGTTCATGTAAAGCTCCTATTTCCATATTAAGTCAAAGGTCTGTATTTTGCATGCAAAGACAATCTTGTGACACAACATTTGATTGGATCACAAGTGGATATATGGACATGTGGCGCTGCCCCGTGGCGACACGCATAGTAAGAGCTCTGGGAAAAATATCTTTATTTTCTAATTTTTAAGACACTTTTACATGGATATTTGGATAAATTGTGACGACTATGAACAGTAGCGGCCAAATTTCAATATGGATATGAAAAATGTGAATTATCTAATAATTTTCTGTGTTTTTGCCCTTCTTTCAAGACTGATATCATCTACACAAGAAAAATCAACCAGGCCTAAAATTCAGTATGGGCTTGATGAACTCATGTCACTTTCCTTCAATAGAGTGAGTACACACATTGGAATGGATTTCTTAGCTGAAAACGGTCTTCAATCAAAGAGCAAAAGTAGGAAAAGAGGTAAGAGAGCGGGGGCCCGACGACGTATCAGGGCACGAAAGACGAGACCCCCACTACCATCCATCCTCCGGTCCAATGTAAGGTCGCTAAGAAACAAATTAGACGATCTCTACGCATCAGTCAAATTTCTGTACGAATATAGAGAATGTTGCCTTCTCTGTTTCACCGAAACATGGCTGACAGAATCAACAGATGACACCTCTCTTCACATTGATGGCTTCGGCACTCCTATTCGATTTGACAGATCATCAGATATTACAGGCAAATCTATAGGGGGCGGTGTGTGCCTTTACAATAATAAGAACTGGTGTAAAAACTATGTCATAAGAAAACAGTTATGTTTGGAGCATATTGAACTCCTCTCAGTTTCACTCAGGCCCTACTATCTTCCTCGAGAATTCGGCCAGATATTCGTTGTTCTGGTATATATCCCCCCAAGTGCTAATGATAAGATAGCTGCCAGCACCATACATGAACATATACAGAACATAGAAGCACTGTCTCCTGATGCTCCGAAAATCATTCTTGGAGATTTTAACTCGTGCAAGCTAAATTCACTACTACCCCAATACTCACAATATGTTAAATGCCCAACGAGGAAAGATAAAACAATTGATCTGTGCTATGGTAATATAACCAGTGCCTACAAGGCATTTTGCAAGCCCCCAATCGGCTCCTCTGACCATAACTCTGTACATCTCATTCCAACATATGTGACAAAACTAAAGTCTGAAAAACCTATCCATAAGACCGTTAAATCGTGGAATAACGAGTCCCTAGAAATTCTGAAGTGGTGCTTTGAATGTATAGTCTGGGATATATTCGCGCCGGATCATTCAGATATAAATGAGTGGTGCGATGTTATCAAGGATTATATAAACTTTTGTGTTGACATGATCATCCCCGTAAAGGAAATTAAAATCTTTCCTAATAATAAACCAAGGATTTCAAAAGAACTGAAATCTCTTCTTAACGCGAAGAAGAGGGCTTTTATGAGGAAAGATCGCATCGCAGTTAAAGGTATTCAAAAAGACATAAACGTCAAAATTAAAGTCTGTAGAAACAACTATAAAAGGAAAGTAGAAAGTCAATTCAGAGAGACTAACACTCGACAGGCCTGGTCAAGCATCAAAACAATCGTGGGAACAAATCAACAAAAAGCTCATATCTCATAACCATTAACCGACTAATCATTCGCTGAGGAACTGAACACATTTTATGCTCGTTTCGACAAAGAAAACTTTTCTTCTGAGCGAAAATCGGTTACCGACGCGATACCCGTCTCTGACGGAAATGATATCTTAATCAGCAATGATGACCTGAGAGCATGCTTTCGGCGAATAAACATCAGGAAAACAAAAGGGCCCGATGAGCTAGATGGCATTTTGTTAAAAGAGTGCTGTGACCAACTGTGTTCCGTCTTTTGCAAATTATATCAACTCTCAATTGACACCAATACGATCCCAACATTGTGGAAAAAGTCAAGAATAATACTGATTCCCAAGAAAGCAAATCTGAAGGTGTTAAATGATTATAGGCCAGTTGCACTCAAATCGATTGCTATGAAATGTTTCGAACGGATTATTTTAAATGTATTAAAAAGCAATGTTACTGAACTCCTGGACTCACTTCAGTTTGCGTATAGGTCAAAACGTGGAACAGTCGATGCTACAATATCTCTTCTCAATTCTGTATACAAACATCTAGAAACCAACAAAGCGTATGTTCGAATTCTTTTTTGTAGATTTCTCATCCGCTTTCAACACCATACAGCCACATATAATTCTGAAACTGTTATTAACCATGCATGTCAATCCCCTTCTAATAAAGTGGATTGAAAATTTCTTAATAGACAGACCACAATATGTTATAGTCAACAAGTGCTATTCAAATATTATTAAAACAAACACGGGGCACCTCAGGGATGTGTTCTATCACCGGTTCTTTTCATTATTTACACCAATGATTGCAGAAGTATAAATCCTAACTGTCTCACTGTCAAATTTGCAGACGATGCCGCGATTGTTAGCTCACTAAACGACGCCGAATCTGACACTCATTACAGAGGTGATGTTGCCAATTTTGCGACAGGAACTATCTCCATATGAATGTCAATAAAACCAAAGAACTTATCATTGACTTCAGGGTTAATAAATCACATATAGTTCCCTTAACAATTGATGATGAAACTGTTGAGATAGTTTCAGAATACAAATATCTAGGTACTATTATTGATGACAAACTATCATGGAACCAAAACACAAACGCAGTGTACAAAAAGTGTCAACAACGCCTCTATTACATGCGCAAATTGAGATCTTTTCACGTTAACCAAGCCATACTTTCAGTGTTTTACACTTCATTTATACAAAGCATTCTTTGTTTTTCTATCCAATGCATTTATCCTTCCCTCACCGTACAAAACAAAGCTAAGCTAAACAAAATTGTCAAAATGGCTAGCAAAATTTCAGGGGTTCAGCACACCCCACTCAATAGACTGCACAATAAATTTGTACTTAATGTGAGCAAAAAAAATAGCCTTTGATAAAACACATTTTCTTTACAGTGAATACGAATTACTACCCTCGGGACGTCGGTATAGAGTACCAAAATTTAAAACAAAAAGATGTTAGTCATCGTTTATCCCCCAAAGCATATGTATACTAAACCAAGCAATATCAGACGAAATGCAATAGGCTGTCATTTGTTAACATATATCCATGTATTGTGTATTATTTATATCTATTTATTATTTTGTATCAAATTCTCATCTCTTGTCTATGTCTAAGAATTCCTGTAAGGTAATAAAGAATTAGGTCATACATAGTTCAACAATTGGTAATATCACCGCATGAGTGTTTGCATGCGTGTTATTTGATATGTGAATTATCATTTGTTATATATATGTGGAAATTACTTTTTTCTTGGATAGTCCCATTTACAACCCAGGTAAGAAACCATACATTTATAAATTAAAACACCCACGTGTAGTAAATATGGACATGACGAAACCAATAGATTTTCATTAATTACGTGATTTTATATTTATAAACTTGCTTTCGAAACAGATTTGTTAGTCTGATATCAATGGAGGTTGGTCCGGATAACGGTAAATAACGTGCATTTATAGTTCATTGGTACGCACGATAATATGTAAACAAATTAAACCCACAAAAAAGACAAATATATAAATAACTGCAGCTCGACTATGGTATGAAGTATAAAACATGTAGTATTCATCAAGAAATGAAATACGTATAAGAACGCACATATGTAACTACAGCACGTATGTAACTACAAAGGCCGATCTGCGTAAAACACACGGTCGAACAAGAAATTGCACTGTAAATTGGATTTAACACCTATGCATCAGATTAAGCCTGCTAGTCCTTGATAAAACACCATTGGTGCAAATATAACACCCTTTCCAGAAAACTCACCAAACAAAGAATACACATTGTGTCAGTCGTTTTTAACCCGTCCGTTAATTAACACATCCAGTACAGAAAACACACTGTCGCAGAGATTTTCACCCCTAGCGATAATTAAATTATCTTCCAGTTAATTTCTCATCCCTTTTAATTAACACACCGTATCTACAGATTTTAGCCTCTTCGTATTAGATTTGTTGCGATAATTAAAATTTTACCGATATTCATACAAATTTACCTAAATCGGTAGATATCTATACCCTAAACGTACAAATAACATTATTACTACTTTTCAGTGTTGGTTATAATCAAGTCAAATAAAGAGTTATTTCCTTTATTGTCATATCTTGTAAGTTTGTTTATAAGTTGGAATATCTAGAATTAAACAGTTATATGGACTTGCCAAAATATGTACTTGTAAGTCTTTAATCAATTACAAATATTGAAGTAGACTTAAATGTATTCTATAATCATTTGGATATTAAGGCCATTAGGCCTCTTATTTGAAATAAAGTTTGTTGTTTTTTAATGAGCTTTACTCTACCTTTTCTGCAGATTGTTTTCCTTTATATTTTTCCTTCAAATCAGCAATAGTGGATACTTCAATCTTCTGGAACAAAGGACTAGGCTGAAATATACATATACAATATATATGTACAGTAAACAACATGAGGCTATTGATGAAAGAGGATATGGACATGGTTTTATATGACAAGTTGAAGCATCCTTGCTTTTTTAGGAGCGCGATTGCGCTTGCGCCCTATCGTGCACTTAAATTTCATTTCAGGAGCATTCATATTCACGCTCCTTTCGAATTTGATAGCCATCAAAAACAATCAACTCATTGAATTGAATCTCGGTGGTTTGTTATCAACGCAAATGGGAGTACATTAGTTTGAAAAAGGCCGATCACATGGCGTCATTTTATGACATTTATGTTCATATAAGCGGCTCATACATTCGCAATTCTTCGGTTTGCCGCAGGCTGAATAACTGAGCCGCTTATCAATATCGTGCAATATGACTCATCATCGATACTAGATCTCATCTAACCTCGCCAACAGGAATCGCTTTCGCCGCAGCAAAATGACTGCATTTAGCAGATGAATTCTGTAAATCTTGTTTCCATGAATGATAATTGTATACTCTTCTTGATGAAAATACCGTGGCAACTTCATCTAGATATGGAACACTAGTCAGTTTTTATTGTATATGTTCAGTATTTTATGTCTTCTTAAAGAAATTAAACAAACAGAAACTTGATAGCATTTAAGTAGATTTTTTTATTTTGACTTTTTGGGCAAATAAAATACATGACAGTTGCACCATTACAAATACACTCAAAATATATTCAATTTGAAGTAGTTAATTCCAGGAGAGTGAATCACTCTCCTCGGGATTTTCAGGAGGACTGTTTAAGGCTCTCCATCATTTTTCAAACGACGAGGCCTGCTGAACCATAGACTGCATTCATGATTGCATTATCAGAGAAACTAACTCTGCATAAAATTGATAGACGAGTCTGAATTTTAACAAGGTTCCTCCCAGTGATGGGATTTCAAAATTTTAGTTGTCGGACATTTTCTTCACGAAAATAAAGGGACATAACTCTTATCGTTTTCAAACCACAATTAAGAATCACGTGTCAACAAAATATTCAAATTCATACGTAATAAAAAAATTAGATGCACCTCGTAATTTTTCATATTTAATTCCCGTACGGTATTCAAATTTATGTCGATAATATTCCTAAACCAGGGGATGCCAGGCAGGATACGCCCACATTTTCGAGAGATGGATAGAGAACAAGCTAAAAAGAAAGTGATTTTTCCTACAATCAAGGGCCAGAATTCAGGAAATTACAATTCGATATGCGCAAATATTGAAAGGAACTGAGATCTTTGGGTTATAAACTTACATTTCAAGTTTCAACAAAATCGGATAAAAATTGTGACCTCTATAGGGTCCACAACCTTGATATACCATATTTTTACGCTATTTGAGAACGAGGGGCAGCCATTTTGTAACAGTGATATAATAATACGTTTTTTAAAATCAGATAAACATTATGACCTTTATAGGGTCCTCAAGCTAAAATCGTGATTTTTTGTACAATCAGGGGCCATAATTCAGGAAATTACAATTCGATATGCCCAAATATCGAAAGGAACCAAGATCTTTGGGCTATAAACTTACATTTCAAGTTTCAACAAAATCAGATAAAAATTGTGACCTCTATAGGGTCCACAACCTTGATATACAATATTTTTACGCTATTTGAGAAGGAGGGGCGGCCATTTTGTCTGTCAGTTTTGGGCAGATTTTCACGAAATACAAACTCAGCCGTCCTTAGGGTGTAACGGTGATAAAATAATACGTTTTTTAAAATCGGATAACCATTATGACCTCTATAGGGTCCACAAGCTAAAAACGTGATTTTTCATACAATCAGGGGCCATAATTCAGGAAGTTACAGTCCGATATGCGCGATTATCGAAAGGAACCAAGATCTTTGGGTTATAAACTTACATTTCAAGTTTCAACAAAATCGGATAAAAATTGTGACCTCTATAGTGTCCACAACCTACTTAAGTATGAGGGGCGGCCATTTTGTCTGTCAGTTTTGGGCCAATTTTCACGAAATTTGAACTCAGTCGTCCTTAGGGTGTAACGGCGATATAATAATACGTTTTTCTAAATCGGATAAAAATTATGACCTCTATAGGGTTCACAAGCTAAAAATGTGATTTTTCGTACAATCAGGGGCCACAATTCAGCAAGTTACGTTCCGGTATGCGCGAAAATCGAAAGGAACCAAGATCTTTGGGTTATAAACTTACATTTCAAGTTTCGTCAAAATAGGATTAAAATTGTGACCTCTATAGGGTCCACAAATTTGATATACCATATTTTTACGCTATTTGAGAACGAAGGGCGGCCATTTTGTCTGTCAGTTCTGGGTCGATTTTCACGAAATTCGAACTTAGCCGTCCTTAGGCTGTAACGGTGAAATAATAATACGTTTTTTTAAATCGGATAAAAACTATGACCTCTATAGGGTCCACAAGCTAAAAACGCGATTTTTCGTACAATCAGGGGCCATAATTCAGGAAGTTACGGTCCGATATGCGCGATTATCAAAAGGAACCGAGATCTTTGGGTTATAAACTTACATTTCAAGTTTCAACAAAATCAGATTAAAATTGTGACCTCTATATGTATAACTTTTTTTGAAAATCTGTTCAAATAAAGAAATAATAGAGCATTTTCTAAAATTTGACGATTTTTTTTAACTTTTTTTGATTTTCAGTCCGTTATTTTACCTATTCCAGACACTTCAAAGTCTTATTGGATGAATTCATGCACACGACTGCCGGGGGGGGACTCTCGATAGGGAAAGTTTAAGAAAAATCCTTGGAGCAGTTTTCGAGATATATGCGTCCAAAAACGCTCCAAATCAGAAAATACTTGATTTTCAGCATGTCATATTTTGCTGCCCTCTCATAGGATTCGTGTGAAATTGGTATCATATAATAGTCAAATCCCAGGGCTACCCACCGGTACCTTAATTTCTTTAATCCGTTGATATCGGGTGGAGAAATCATGTTTTTCCCAAAAGCACCCATTTTTTTGCGTTTTCTTCAAAATATCGGACAATTTTTCGACCACTTCCGTTTTAAGGATCCTTGTCTAAATAGCTTTACCAGTTGGATTTGGACTATAACTTCCTGTTCCAGAAGTTTCAGAAACGTCGATTTGGCCGTAAAATTCGAAAAAAATCGAAAAATAAAGGGTGATAACTCTGAATGAAAGTTATATTACTGGAATCGGATTGCCTTCAAGTACCCAAAAATGTAGGTCAAATTTGAAAATTTTGAAAAATAAGAAAAATTGTCTCTTAAACAACATTTTTTCATTTTTCGGACACTAGAAGTCAGCGACGAAGTTTCGAAATTTTCAACTGCTATCATCCGAGAAAAGACTCAGGGTTTCTGAAAATGTCATTTGTATGAAAATAGGTACAGAATTGACGAAGCTACGGCCGTTTTTTAATTTTTATGCACCGCACGAAATTCGGCCACTTCCGTTCTGCGCAGAAGTTTCAAAAATACTTTATCAAGTAGCCACCACGTGGTTTCCCGATAGAAAATTGAACCCCAGATCGATATCTGTTTTCGATTATGGAGAAATAGGCTCCCGCGGTAAATAATAATAATAATAATAATTTTAGTAATCTCAATAGGTTTTCAGACGAAAGTCTGAAAGCCTAATAACTAGACCTGCAAGCAGCACTGAACCGGCTTTCAGGAATCAGACAGGAAGTGTGTCATACAATAGCCCATTTATCGAGCTACCAAACGATACTTTAGATGTTATGATCCGGTCACACCTGACGGTGAAATCCCGATTGTTGCAAGAGTACCGATTTTTTTACTGTCTTTTTTTTAAAAAAAAATATCGAATATTTTTTTGACTACTTCCTATTTACGGATCATTATCAGGATAGATTTAACAAGTGGTATGGGAACTTAACTTCCTGTACCAGAAGTTTCAGAAAGATCCATTGGACAGTTTTACCTCCCTTATACCATGAGAAGTAGATTTACAGATATAACGATTTTTCGACTTTTTACAAAGATTGTGGCCCTTTTGGACCATTTATACTATATTGAGGTTTTTAAATTTGGATTCACACCATAGACCACCGTTAGGACTCTAAGTAACAGAGGTTTAAGAAAGGAAATAAGAGTACTTTTCGAGATAAAAGCGTCTGAATAGGCTCCAAAAAGGAAAATAATAGATTTTCAGCGTTCCATGATATATTGCCTAACTCGCGTATTTTTACCATTTAGATGTCATAAGATCATCCATTGTTTGAACTATCCAATGACACTTTAGTTGTTTTGATTCGGTGAAATCTGGCGTAGTAATCAATTTTTTCCCCCAAGATCACCATTTTTTTTACTTTTTACTCTTTTTTTTTCTCAAAATATCGGAAATTTTTTCGACTACCTCCGGTTTTTGGATCATTGTCGGGATAGTTTTAACAAGTTGTTTGGTTACCTAACCTTCTGTACAAGAATTTTCAGAAAAATCCATTCAGCTGTTTTCAAAAGAAAGAAAAATAGAAGAGCATTTTCAGTAATTTAAGGATTTTTCAACTTTTTTCCAAGATTGAGGCTCTTTTTGGACCACTTATATTATTTCAGTGCTTTGATTTTTGGACTCACGCCATAGTCCACCGATAGGACTCTGAGTAAAAGAAGTTTGTTGCATCTAATGTGCTGCAAAAGACTACTCAGGCAAGATGGTAATAAAGAAAGAAGGGTTATTTTTCATGACAATTAAAATTCCTCCAGAAAATCATCCTTCTAGTGTCATCTGCTGATATAAGTCGCCTTTCGCGGTACATGGTACAAACACTTTTTCTAAACCAGCAATTACGTCATCAGAAACATCATTTGTCTGTCCCAGCTGTTTAAAAATTGACACTCAATACTAACAGGGGCGGATTGGGGCCGGAAATGAAACCCAAATATGCGATTTGGTGGCATATCTGATTATAACCTCTGTCAAATAATATATCTCATAAATCGATTAATTTAGGCCAAAAACACGACTTGCAAGTAATTTACAACCATCAACCTGTGAAATTATCATATCGTCATATTATCAATTAACGTATTATCATTGTATCGTCAAGAGTCAAGAGAATTTAACATGTTAAAAAATGGGACTAGTTGAGAAAATTTTGACCATTTGATTAACCAGTTAGGAATATTGAATAAGTAGGAATATTTTCATTGAAAAATGTCCCATTTTTGTTGCCGGGAGCGCTAGTTGATTCCTCCTGTGATGGAAGGCCACGAGACACATTGGTACAGAGTGACGAAAGTGAAATTCATGAAAGCTGCTTTTTGAATTTTGGATTTGTTGTTGCAGGTAAATTATTTTACCTCGACTCCGAACTTGAACATTTGACACACTACATATTGATTAATGAACATAGCATTAGTTCAGATAATGAATATTGGAGTATAAGGCCACACAAATTTAATTATGAGAATTGCATTACCCTCGACATTTTTGTCAGGAGCGGCGGGCGGAAATAAAAATAAAAATAAAATTTGATCTTGGATGCAAAAAATAGCTACCACGACAGTGTCGGGTGAATCCTACGAAATTTGCGGATGAAATTCGGAATCCCCTTTGCAGGATTCCGAATTCCGGTCCAATACCACCACCCCTCCATATAATGTTCAGCAGAAAAGGATTTTTTTAGACAAATTGGACAAATTTTTTTTTTTTTCATTTCCGACCGGCCCTTCGGGCGATCGCCCGATCCGCCCCTGAATACTAATCTTGATTGGATCAAAAAATATATCAAGATTAGTAATGAAAGTGTCGAGAATATCCTAGACCTGACAACAAACCACGAGGACACCAAAATAGCTTACATACTCCTCTTCGCATTGCAAATTAATAATTGTATTTAGTGTTTTTGCTCGGGCGAAATAGACATCCCAATCATTCTCCTCACAAACAATGATCCAAATACACACATTTTGATCGATAATGAAATGGGCAAAGGTAGAAAATAGTGCAGAAGGTGATACATATCGCGGAAGGCGACTTACATCAGTAGATAACGCTAGAAGAAAGATTTTTTGGGTAGTGGTCTTTTGCTACATGGCTGGAATGAAGATTTACCATGTGAATTGGTATCTGAAGCATATCCAAAGGATATAATGCTGTTGGTCAGCAACCAAGACCAAGAAGTTATTTATCCCACTCATATTTTGAATCTTCTGATGAAGACTAACTATAAACTAATATCTAAACATATCTCTGATTTACTGTGTTTTTTATTTGCATTTCCAGATCTCTTGAAAAGTACCATTATAATTTAATATATTGAGTGACGAAATAGGTACTGAACTAAAAAGCTAACGAGAAACCACTTTTAAGGTCAGTTTTGAACCAACTAATTTCTGTCCACAAAAACACATGTTAATAGCCAATGTTTTTCTTACCTTGCCTATCTCATGTCCAGGTTTTAATGTAGAAATAAAATGTTGGTGTATAACCATATCATCCGTTCTAATATTTAACTGATATCTTATAGTATCACTGGTTGTAGGCATATAAGGATGTAATAAAACTGACAGTAAACAACATATGTTGGCTGCTAAACTGACCACAGAACCAGCTCGAGCTCTGAAGTAAAAAATAATGTGTTAATCTGATTAAAGTTAAGTTTCCAAGTTAGTACTGTTAAAATTACCAATAGTAATTAAAGAAGCAATAAGTTACTGCAAGTCAAAAGCATTTATACCAATTTATTGTTATATCTACATAAGACAATATTCCCCACTAAAAGATAGTTACAGACTTTCGATCTGCACACCACAAAAAAAAGCACATTGATCTATCAATTCTAATGCATGCTTTGGCCATCTAAAGTTCCCTTAACTTTATTGATATCATCTTTTTCTGTCTTTGAACGTCAGAATGATGAACAACTAGTTTCTTTAATAACATCAAGATATCCTGTTTTTTTACTTCAAATTCAATCATTTACATGTAAAGAACACCTTTCAGCCTTATGTTTACTGGATTTTAATTAGAGGGATTGCTGAACAAATCTGGTTTTAAATTCTCAGCAAAATTAGCTATTTATTGATGCATGCAGCGTGATGGCCGTGAATCTCTAGTTTATAAATATTGCCAATATAAATATCTCACAGAAAAAACAGGCTAGTTGACACGTCTGCCGATAATTCCAGTTTTAATGAATACAAATGAGTTTTAAAACCCATACAATATGTAAACATACTCTACCTAGACACCCCGCTCGGTGCATTCTGGTACCTAGTCCGGCAGAACTATGGCCGAACCTGGAAATTGTATACAAAGTTTTTTTCAGGATTGATTTTAGTAGCGAAGAGTGTCCCCTTTCAGAATTTGCCGGGTGAACCTCGGTCACCTTTGAGCGTTTTGAGAAATTCAAGATGGTGTCCAAGACGGCCACCATTTCAAATAATCCCCTATACCTCCCCTAGTATTTAGTCTAGGATGCTAATTGTGGTGTCTAACCGTATGTTTTTGGGGCCAAGGAATACACTGAAATCGTTAATTATTTTGTAGGGTGATTATAGTAAAATCCAATATGCCAGACAATATGGCCCTTTAACTCGATAGCGGCGGTTGTGGGCGATTATTTCACCAAACCAAACATATCTAGTGACAAACTATATATTTCAGGACATAGGAGCATATGTTGGATACAATAACACCACATACATGCCTATCAGGGGCTCCAGGGCGACATGGGATGGCCCTGAAAATGGAAATGAAGTTTAACATCCTACTTTTCTGCTCCGAACTGGGCTAATGTAGACGGGCATTATCCCTACAGTGTGCTATGAGGGAAATTTTGCCCGTACAGTGGCACTACGGCCTACTTTTATATCAAATTCCAACTGTCAAGGGATCTTTCATGTGCACGCCAATGTGTACACAGGACCTCAGTTTTTCTTCCCATCCGAACAACTAGACAGCTGTCCTTGTCAGGCCCTCCGTTCATCCGGATGAACTTTCTGGGCCAATGCAGGGATCGAACACCCGACCTCCAGGCTATCAAGCCAGCGTCTTACCCAATTAGCCACCGTGCCCTCCCCCCCTGAAAATGGAACACAAGCTGTTTTTTGAACATTTAAACAACCAAATTCTACCCACAAAACACGCAAATAACACCAACAAAACTAGATAATATTCAGTTTAATACTTTAGTCATGTTTCTGGATGCAACCTGCCAAACAAGTCAACAGTGAGGCTGATGTCCCCACCCCTCCCAAAATCCTAAAATAAATAGATGACACATTAATTAATCGCACATTTATTTTTTTCAAAAGTATCGAGCAATGAAACTGATTATCAACTATACACTAAGTTTCATCACTCTCTATCAGATGGAATCAAAGTTATCTTCTCCCAAAGCACCGACCAATGAAATTGCTTAGCTCTGCTTAGCTTTAGCTCGAAATGTTAATCATTGAACTCAGTCAAGACATTCACCTAATGAACATCTACGTCAAGTTTAAATGTTCTACCTCAATTAAAAGTAGATAGTAGGGTCAAAGTAATGAAAACCAGCGGCTGACAGGCAGGATACGCCCACATTTTCGAGAGATGGATAGAGAACAAGCTAAGAAGAAAGTGATTTTTCCTACAATCAAGGGCCATAATTCAGGAAATTACAATTCGATATGCGCAAATATCAAAAGGAACCGAGATCTTTGGGTTATAAACTTACATTCCAAGTTTTAACAAAATCGGATAAAAATTGTGACCTCTATAGGGTCAACAACCTTGATATACCATATTTTTACGCTATTTGAGAACGAAGGGCGGCTATTTTGTCTGTCAGTTTTGGGCCGATTTTCACGAAATTCGAACTCAGCTGTCCTTAGGGTGTAACGGTGATATAATAATACGTTTTTTAAAATCGAATAAAAATTATGACCTCTATAGGGTCCACAAACTAAAAACCCGATTTTTCGTACAATCAGGGGCCATAATTCAGGAAGTTACCGTCCGATATGAGCGAATATCGAAAGGAACCCAGATCTTTGGGTTATAAACTTACATTTCAAGTTTCAACAAAATCGGATAAAAATTGTGACCTCTATAGGGTCCACAACCTTGATATACCGTATTTTTACGCTATTTGAGAACGAACGGTGGCCATTTTGTCTGTCAATTTTTGGCTGATTTTCACGAAATTCGAACTCAGTTGTCCTTAGGGTGTAACGGTGGTATAATTATACGTTTTTTTAAATCGGATAAAAATTATGACCTCTATAGGGTCCACAAGCTGAAAACGTGATTTTTCGTACAATCAGGGGCCATAATTCAGGAAGTTACGGTCCGATATGCGCGAATATCGAAAGAAACCGAGATCTTTGGGTTATAAACTTATATTTCAAGTTTCAACAAAATCGGATAAAAATTGTGACCTCTATTGGGTCCACAAGCTAAAAACATGATTTTTCGTACAAACAGGGGCCATAATCCATGAAGTTTTGATCCGATACATGCCAATATCGAAAGCAGCCGAGATCTTTTGGAGATAAACCTATATTTCAAGTTTCGTCAAAATCGGATAAGAATTGTGACCTGTAGAGGGTCCACAAACAATTGTGGACGGACAGACGTCCGGACTGACAGGGGCGACGGCATAATAAAAACAATTTCTTTTTACCATAGCTGAAATAGTCATTTGATTTAGTTCCACAAATACTATAGCAATTATTTATCTAACTTTCTTTCATTATTTGTTGTTTTTTTTTTATTTATATCACAGTTGAAATTTTCCTAAAAATATTTTTATGGTATTTTGATATAATGAATAAAAATGAGTAGGTATCTATATATAGATTAGCCCTTTAAAAATTACACATTATACACATGTACAGAAACATATATGTAGGTTCTAAGTTTTAATACAGTATTGACAGTTCCATTCTCCATGATTTAAAACATCGATTAGATTTTTACTTGATGCACCACATTTAGTTAAACAGTCTGCCAGCTGGAATTTACTCTCAGTCCATTCTATATTTTGAATCTCTTTTCGGGACAACCTTTTGTCTAACAGTGTCTTTGTTGAATGTACAGTTTCGCATAGCGATTTATTGTTTGTCACACAGTGTATTGGAACAGAGTCACTTGCCAATTTTAACACCTCATACAGGACTGTTCTGAGTAAGCAGCATGCTTCTGCTGCCTCCAATAAAGCTAATGTTTCGGCTACAATAGTGCTAATTACAACACGCCTTATTTTCTTCGACATCCATGATAAGGGAGAAAATTTTGCATTACTTCCCACCAGGAATACAATATACGCCGACTGTGAACCACCATCTTTCAAATTGGCCAATGATGCATCACTGAAACATGTCAAACACAGTTTCTTAATGCTACCCAAATTAGGAAATTTCAGTTCCACATTTTCTGATTTTAGTTTTTTTTATACTTTTATTGGCTTTAAATCAATCGTCAACTGTACTGTCTTTTTGAGATACACTAACTTCACATGCATTATACGCGACGTCAGGTCTCATTTGATTGGCTGCCCAGTTCAATTGTCCAGCAATACCCCTTAACATACGCGTTTCACTTTCAGTTATTCCATCACATTTATCACGCGATCCACTTAACTCAATCTCTCCAATATATGTATTTTGATGCATAGTTATTGTGTTATCCTTTTGGTTCAGTTCTAACCCAACATACTTAAATGCCAGACTTTCTTCTGTGCCCATGATAAACTTAGTTCTAACAGTTTTTATCACCTTATTCACAAATAGTTCTGATCCACCCCAACAAATATCGTCCACATGACAGCATATTACACCTTGTAGTTTTTCTTGAAAATGCCCGTAGAAGAGCGCTTCATCGCATTTACTCATTGTTGCTCCACAATTGATCAATTCTTCCTTTACTCGAAGATACCAGACTCTAGGTGCATCAGAAAGACCAGTAGTTTTTAATTTCCAAAGCTTACCATTACCAACTTCTGGAGGAGGCTTGAGAAATATATCTCTATCAATTTCATTTCCTTGTAGAAAAGCTGCCTTAACATCAAGGGAATTCAGTTTCCATCCAAAACTAGATATGATTGTCAATACAAGTCTTAAATTTTCCTTACAGCATGTTGGAGAATCTGTTCTTAAATCTAAAGATCTTTCCTCAAACCCACGCGCTACAAGTCTTGCTTTTACAACAGATTTACCGTCTTTGACTTTTTCGGTTATCACCCATCTGACAGAGATACTAGTTTGACCCTCATCTGGAACTTCGGTAAAAACATCATGGACTCGCCATTTGTTTATTTCGTCCAATTTTGCCTGGGATACTTCTAAAGAGCTGTTGTGTATACTAACACTGTTAATAAATACCTCTTCTACAGTCTCCCATTTCAGAGATTCCAGGTTTATACTTCTCAATGTACCATTGTTCAGGTCCTTAATGTTGACCCAATATCGTTTTTTTCCTGTAGCTTTACCTGCTCTATTTAATACCACAGCTTCTATCCAGTCATCCATGTCTGGTTGATGATAAATGATTTTACATCCTTTAATCGGTAGTTCAATACAACCATCAACTTTTGTCAAAGGTACAGTATCACAATTACTAGTTTTACTATTAGTGTC